ACACCACCAGAACCACCATGACAACGATTGATTGATTGATTTATTTAACATCCATAACTGTTACATTATGTACAATTGGACAAGTCAGTTTTTTATAAAAAAAAATATATAAGATTAAAAACATCACATCAAATGACTAATAGTATAAAAAACCATAGAAAAATAACATAATAAGTCCTTTAAATATGATAAAACAGTGGATGAGTATAATTAGGCAACAAAAGCTAAACTATAAATTACATGCAATAGCTAAAATAAATTACCCAAGTATCTTTATTCTATTATTGCGCTAATTCTTGTAAAACGCATGACCGCATACGACTCATGAAGCTGTTGTTCAAGTTCCCTGCAGACTTCCAAGAGATGCTGCTTCTGTTAATATTGCAGCAGCCGTGGCACAAACTTCGCCGCAATCCTCATGTTCAGTTCCCAGCAATTACAATCCTCCACTGCACCACGCCGTCCATACTGACCATACTGACGGTACTGTGGTGCCACCAATCACATCCTGATCCTGAAGCAACCTGTTAGTTGTAAAGCACAATAGACGCAATAGACCATTGTAGGTCGCGGTGCAAGGGCCGAGAAGGCCTACCCCTCATACATTCATTCATACCTGTTAGTGTTACCAACCGTGCCAACACTATGGCATACGCTCTGGGAACACGTACATACATATACATCGAATATTAGCTGGAAATAGTTTTCAATACACATTATTTACGATCCCTCATGTAGGCCACGCAGTTCCCGATCCTGTGCACGCCATGTTCATCATGGCAAACACGTACATACATATACATCGAATATTAGCTGGAAATAGTTTTCAATACACATTATTTACGATCCCTCATGTAGGCCACGCAGTTCCCGATCCTGTGCACGCCATGTTCATCATGGCAAACACGTACATACATATACATCGAATATTAGCTGGAAATAGTTTTCAATACACATTATTTACGATCCCTCATGTAGGCCACGCAGTTCCCGATCCTCATGGCATGCACTCACCCATATTTTAAACCACTCGCCCGATTTCCACGAAACTCGGCATGAATGACGTGTCATCCAAGGTCATTCCAAACCCATCTTTTTCAATTTATTGTTGTCACCTTTATAAACACGATGGACGTGCGAACTCGCGAGGTGGGAGCCACGAACGTAGCAGTGAACTTCCAGCAGTCCACCACTGAGCATTCAAGTGCACACCTCCCTCCACACTGGGACTGGCGATTGCTGGGATTGAACAATGTTAATTTGAATTAGGTTGTATGAGCAACAATATAGGGCACTTCCCTCCCATTGGGGAAGCACTTGGTGAGACTGCGCATTGTTATTTTAAGAAGTACCAACAAATCCTATCATCATATCCAGGACCAATCATTATTCGTCACGGAACCCCCTATTTGTGACAATACCAAATAATCTTCAAAGTTTATGTGTCCCTTGCTTTCTTGATTTATGCAACAGCTCTGTCTCCTTCCCTTTTCCTCCCAAATTAAATGTTGCATAAATAAATAAGGAAACACCGTACTTAAATTATTCATCGAATCCCACCGCCACAGAAGAGAGATTATTGGTAGACGCGAAAGAGATCCTGCACGGCTATGCCAATCTCTTGTCCCTGGAGTCTTCTTACACTACCCATACAATACTGTATTCCACCTTCTTCCTACCTCTCCTGGTCAGACAGCATGCAGTTCACATTTAATTGAGTGTTATTACTTAAAATTGATCTAAATTAGTTGGAAGCATTAAAGTGAAATCACATCTATAAATTTGATATCTAGGAATTCCTGTATTTATTCTCCATAAAAATTAGAAATTTCTCCCTTTATTTTCTGTATACAGAATGACAGCAATAACATAATACCTATTTTTACCTTTAGTAAAAGAAAAGGTTTTGCTTAATTAAATACCATGCCATTGAGTTAGGGGAGTGGATATAAGGTTCCATGCATTCTTGGCTTTGTCATTAAATGGAGGTGGTTTGTAGGTTTCATAATCCAGCTGATTTACTGCAGAGAAAGGAATGCCGGTACCTACTGGATAGAAAACTTTGAGTTCCAGGGGTGGTTAAGACAGAATTCCCTGCCCAAAAAGGAATCAAACTGTCATCTAGCCAATAGCCAGTCACTACTCTGCATCAAATTTTAACTTTCAGAATTACTGAGGTTTTGGACTTTATCCATTGTCCAGTATTTTAGGTAATAGAGGACATGATGTTTAGAAAACTGGATGTTTCTGTTTCCGACTCCGTCCAGTGATTGAGATTAGCCCTTTCTAAGGGGTCCAACTGAGTAGGTGTCTTCCTTTATACCCGAAGAAGGAGACAGATCCAGTTTCCGAAATGTCGTGTCCTCTATTACCTAAAATTCTCGACGATGGAAAACGTCCAAAACCCCAGTAATTTTGTGTGTCATCCACCACTGTCAGAAACCTTTAGAATCTGAATTTTAACTTCTAGTTATAAATTTTATTATTACAAAGGTATTAGAAGTGTCTTCCATTTGCACCTAAAATATGAAATAGGATTTATTACAAATGAATAAAGGTGAAAATTAGAAACTGTGAAATGACTTTTAGTTGAAGTCTTCCATATTAACATTAGGAAAGCAGTGTACGTCTGTTTGGGATGTAATATTTGGTCACAGATGGATAAACAGGATGATCTCCAGTTAAGGTATTTTTTGCTTGCTTTGTAAACAATTCCTAGTAATGGTGCCAATGTCCTGCAGAAGAGTTTGTACTATATCACAAATAAGGCAACTCAAGAAGCCATGAAGAATCTTGGAACAGCTGCACCCAAGATACTATACATGCATCCTATGAATGCAATCTGAAATGTACAGAATGTTCCGTCATTTCTAAAAATGGCTGTTCAAACGTCTGGCTGGGCTGTGAGAGTGACAAGGTTCCAGCAGCAGCTGAGCCTTCTTTGTGGAGAGGATCCACTGGCTGGCGCATCAGCGGGATGCTTCCCTCAATGCCCATACAAACAAACAAACTCTGTGGTTTTAGTCTGCAAGCAAACTATACTGACTGAGTGACCGCCACTTGTCGGCAAAATTAGTGCCAACTTTAGTGGATAGAGGTGTCGCGTGGTCAGCGCAACAAATCCCCATAACCATTAATTTCGGTTTTCTGGACTGGAGCCGCTATTTCCTTGAATTAGCTCCTCAATTATCCTCACAAGGCTGAGTGGACCCCATTCCAGACCCACTACTTCTCAGAAAATCTGGTAGCGCCGAGAATCGAACCCAGACCTCTGACCACTAGACCACAGAGGCAGACCCTCAATGCCCATGGGGACTATTTTTAACAGCCTCTACTCCTTTATCCAGAACAATCCCCGAATCAGACTCGTCTGAACAACTTTCATATTTACTATAGGATTCTGACGATGGTGTATAANTGTCACTAATCTTAACTGTGCTACAGAGTGGCTTCTTTCATCACACTCTTGCTGAAAATAAAATCAATTCAAAACATGCACACACACAATCATATACATAGGTGAGGGGATGGGGCACAGAATGTGTGTACTCATAAGCATGCATGTGCATATCACTAAACCTGAGTTTGGTCATTTATGAAGTACTTCATACACACACATCATACAGTCTACCACATGAATGCTCATGTTACCAAACCGACTTCATACACACACATCATACAGTCTCTACCACACCTAGAAACATTGCTGGAAATAACTACCAGAAAGTCTGTTCACTTCCGTTACACTGTTCTGAACGTCTTCCAGCAATTCAAAATGTGATACCTTCAAGGAAAATTTTAATTGTGACAACATGAAAATGTTACACAGGACAAAATTAGTCAATTAAAGTGAAATTTCAAACACTGATTTTTGTTTACTGAGGTTCATTTTCATGAACAAAATCCTCTGTATGGCAACAGGTTTGGTACCTCTGGGTAAATGTGATCCCCCAGGTCATCCAACATCCAACCGAATTGCACCTTTGTATTGTACTCCTCAGAGCACCCAAGAACGCACAGTCCCACATCACTTCAGCTGCCTTTCAATTTCATCATCTTCCGAATGATGTTTCATTGCCATTGTATGATGAAATGAAACTATGATATTAGAATTCACTATGAAGTCATAGGAAGCTGAACGCACTCTGTATCTCAGCTACAATGCAAGCATTTGGCTGCAGCCATAGAAAGAGCAGTATTTTCTTGCATACAATGGAAAGTTTGGGAATGATGTAGGATACTAAGAATTTTCTCTCCAGTCTCTCTTGAATTCCCATACTTTCATTCTTCTATCCCTCAAGTAAACAGAGTCGAATATCTGAAGACTGTAGGCAAAATGTGAATCGTACAAACAGAATAACAAAACAAAGCTTTCAGTGATTCCAGATGTTTTACAACACCAGAGACAGTGTTTAAAGGAATGATTTTATGATGCAGAACCACTTTGTAAGGAAGTGGGAAACTCTTTTGTACACTACGCATAATAAATAAAAATATAACAAGAGTAGAACTTTTTTGCCTAAACATTTTCAAATCTCATGTTACGATGTGACATTATGTTTTTTGCTGATAAAAATAAGATTAATTCCATTCCTTTATCATAAAAATTGTATTACATACAGCATTTTTAATAGTGCTTAAAATTATTTGAAAAGCAAAAAAGCAAAGATCAATTAAATGCCCAGTGGCAGCGGGCATTTAAATAAACTTCATCCACTTCACCCTAACACCATTTAAAGGTTACAAACGCCTGCATCTTGAATAAACTGCATTAACACCAATATTCTTTGCAGGGAGAATGGACTTGAACACACACATACACAACTTTTGAAATATTTTGCAACATGTCATTCAGGAATGCAATGACACTCAGAATATTCCTCTATTCCAATCACGCAGTGACACATCAAAAGAGGAAGGTACTGATTATGGAAAATAATGATCAGGAACTTCTTCAAAAGGACATTAGACACAAGATTTCACTTTCAATCAATCCTCTAAGCCCATACGATATTTCAGTCTTATTATAATCTGACACATATAACAGGTCAATTTATAAATAACACACAAATATAAGCAGTATCACTCTTGGTGCCCTTAATCTACAAAATCGTTCTCAAGATTTTGAAATACAGTGGAGATATGTCACACAACAACAGCATAACAGTATGAATTTCAATTAAATATTTCACCATTCAAATTTTTAAATTGATTCTAGTATATAACTTACTACTTGGCTATGTTTATGGCAACACGTTCATTTTTCATACAAATATTATGAATGGTGTGAAAACAAATTTGTGTGTCACAGTTTATCATCAATAAAGACAAAAGAGAGCGCAATGTTCAGTTATTTAATTTACTAACATAACAAATGATATCCTTCACAGATAACAGCAACACCATAAAATACTGCCACTCATCTCAGGCTGCACATACAATTTTGTAAACATCAGCTAGGAAAACATTTGTTGGATTGTTGGTGCATACTTTGATGGAAGAGCAGCAAGAACACTGGAAAACTCGTCACGGAAATTTAACTGCATTGTCTTCATTAGATTCAGCACCAATTCTAAAGTTTCTGAAAACATAAGATTTGAAGTTACAGAACAAAAGCAGGAAACACCGTAACATAAAACGAATATAAAGGCCCAACAATCAATGGATATTAACTTCCATGTATTCACAAAATCAATCAAAGCATGACAAACTAGACAGGGAAATTTTCTATACGTACTGGATTTATATAAGAGTAACTAACTTCACGGAGCTGAGCCCTCCTTGAGAAGCCATGAGTCGCACAGGTACTCAAGACTTTTCCAACATTTTATGGAACCCAAAAGTTCATTACCATGTTCACAAGAGCTCACCAGTGGTCCCTATCCTGAGCTAGCTCAATCCAGTCCATACTATCCTATTCTATCTCTCTAACATCCGTTTAAATATTATTCACCTACCTACCTCTTGGTCTTCCTTGTGGTCTCTATCCTTCTGGCTTTTCCTATATGCATTCCTCTTCTCCACCATTCGTGTTACATGCCCTGCCCACCTCATCCATCTTAACTTGACCATTCTAATTATGTTTGGTGAAGAGTACAAGTTATAAAGCTCCTCATTATGTAGTCCCCCCTACCTCCTGTCACTTCATCCCTCTTCAGTCCAAATATTCTCCTCAGAACACTGTTCTTGAACACCTGCAGCCTATGTTCCTCCCTTAATGTCAGAGACCATCTTTCACTCATACACAACCACAGGCAAAATTATAGTTTTTTACATTCTAATTTTTATGTTGTTAGCCAGCAGATTTAAAGATAAAAGCTTCTGGACTGAATGGTAGCAAGCATTATTCGAATTCAATCTCCTTTCAATTTTCTCCTGAATCAAATTCTGATCTGTTACTGTCATTCCAAAATATCTGAACTGTGCCACATTTTCAAAACATCTGTCAGCTGCCTTTATGTCATTTTTTCCTACATTCTGATGATGAGGCAGCAACATATTGTAATGCGTTTTGTTACTGAAGACGCCATTCAGATTGTTAATTGGTTTATTTAACAACCTACAAGTCGTAACTACAATTGATTATAACACTGTTGCGGGGTTTCACACTTTATAACCCTATTCGCTATAATCTCTTCACACTATCTTCAGTAGTCTACACGTATTCACAGTACGGGAGCTATATAAGTGTCACTGTGTTACACACTCCCAATTACTTCTCAGTTATCACAAACTATCACTGATTATCACACGCGTCCGGTTCTTCGTTCTGCGACTGCTGCTAGATTCCAACTGTGTCACTCCTGATCACACACTAACACTCGCTTGCTGCTCAGCTGGCTTTTATTCCGTTCGCTGTTGCCTACTGCCGGTGTCACAGCTGCGTTGCGTGTCTCATCACAGTAGGGGGAGGGAGGTGGTGTCCTCCATTGTGCAACATATCACAATATACTTAGTTTTCTCTGTGTCTACTTCTAGACCAACCTCCTTACTAACATAATTGGATTTTCTGTGTTTTTCTTTATGGTATCTATGTTATCTCCAAGTAAATTCACATCATCAGCATAGACCAGCAGCTGACCTGTCCAATTTCATGTCAGTCCCACCTGGTTATCCTGGACCTTCCTAATAGCATATCCCAAAGCAAAGTTGAAAAGCAATGGCAATAAAGAATCTCCTTGTTTTAGACCATTTTGGATAGGAAAATTATTAGACAAATGTTTACCTATATAGACTTTACTATAAATTTCATTTAAACACATTTTAATCAGCCTGACTAGTTTCATGGGCATCCTAAACTCTATGAGAAAATTGTACAGTACTGTATAGCTGATGTATAGTCTCACTGTACTCCCTTTTTTTTTTCCCCCAGTATCCAACAAATGCAAAAATCTGACCAGTAGTTGATCTATTATGTCAAAACCCACACTGATGATCTTCAATAATTTCATCTATATATGGACATAACCTTGAGAGAAGGATATTGGTTAAAATTTTGTATGAAGTTGATGACAATGATATCCCAACATCATTATTACAGTCCGTTTTATCGCCCTTCTTATAAAGTGGTACAGTAATGGATCCCTTCCACTGATTAGATAATTCTTCCTTATTTCAAACAGAATTAATAAGTTCATGGATCTCAGACTGTAATATTTCCACCTCATGCTCGAAACACTTCTGCTGGAATTTGATCATTACATTTCCAACTTATATATTTCCAAATTGCAAAAGCAATTTCAACCTCAAAAGAACTATGATCAGGTACTAATGGGCTCAGCTGTATGAATTTCTGTCTGCCTAACATCACTGACCCTATGTACATACAATATCTGAGTGAAGTAGTTCTTCCACCTTTTCAAAATGTTGTGGGAATCTGCAAGCATATCACCATTTTCAGCCTTCACTAAGTTACTTCTAGGCTAGTAATTCCTCTTCAATTAATTTATTCTTCTTCACAGGTCTCCAGTGTTCTTGTTCCTGATGTTCACTGCAAGCTCATTCATTTTGCCTTTCAGATATTCCCGCTTTTTATTCCTGAAATGCCTTCTGACTTCATGTCTTATATTGTTCAGATTATCCCCATTTATTTCTTTGCACAACTCTACTGGAGAATTTTTACAAATGAATTATGTCATAAACATGGAAGAATGTTAAATAAAAACTGTGCCCAGAATAACTTAATTTACTGCAATTTTTGTCCTGTTATATTTATTTAGCAAATGTTCTCAAATATCCCTTTTTCTAAAAGAAATATGCTACAAAAGATAGGGAATTGCAACTAAGGCTGATGACACTAGTCAACTGAGGTGCCATCTTAACTTTCTAAGCTCCCCCTTCGATTTTGTATACCTATGTGCAGCCTCAGTGTGGGTGGATGTTTTTCTATGAGGTATTGCACATGTCCTGCTGACATAAGTACACAAGGAATGTGTATATGATCTTTCATGGTTACTGAAAGATTGGAAATAATTCAAGAGGCAGAAGAACCTGAAATCGCACTGCTGGTAGAAAATATGACATTACTGAAAGTCATATACAAGACTGCAGAAAGGTGTTATGGAGGGTAACAACTTATGGCATGTATGGACTGCAAAAAACAATGGTCAGAAGACAGATGTACTACTAATACATGGAGGTTGTGTACTCACTGGCATCACAGTTCCGATGCTTTTCTTACTGAAGAAAGAATGGGGAAAGATGCTGACTTAGACTAAAATCCAAGCATGAAAGCAAAACTAACATTTCTCTTGGGGTTGTCTCTCCAAGAGGAACACATTTTGAATCTATCTATATAAAATGCTTTTGGCAAAGCTTGCTTATAAAAAGCAAACTTTGATCAGAATGAATTCCATATTTTGATTATGATCAAATGAATATTGCATTAATTTACAATCAGGAAAAACTGAAAGAAGGTTGAAATTTCAAAAAACTGGAACTCTGAATGTAACTGTTACAGGAAGGTAATATTTCATATTTATCACTTACTTATCAGACCCAATAAGCCTGCCACATTTTATATGAATCAAAGATGGTCAGAAAATTGTTGCTCCTAAACGACAACTTTACACAAATATGGCAGTGAGTTATGGTGTGTAAGACTTTCAAAACAGAAACCATTTATTGATGAATGTTCAATACAAATCTAGTGTGTTATTCCATTCATTATATTTTAAACACATAACTCTTATGTAAATACTGACCCTTAACACCTTGACGTTCACACAGCACTATGACTCCTGCCTTCATGACAGGTGCCAAGTGACTGAGAAGCATTGGATGGCCCAGTTGGTACAGGTACGACATACATTCAAATACTGCTTTGTTTTCATCAAAATCTTCTCTCAGTGGTAGATAATTCACAAAAACAGGAAACACCTAGGCATAAGGGCAAGATTTTAATATCAATGCATTTTAATGTGGCAGAGAAATATGGTACCATAACCAACAAACACTAACCTGTGCCATTGGAACACCAGCGATATTGGTCAAGATGAGCTTGGCCAGTGCTCCACAAATGTTATCAAGTGTCCTTGCATGTCTTTCTTTAGAAGCAGCTGTTGATAGTGCTTGGAGGATCTCCGAATAATGTCTACCAAGTCAAGGTAAAACAAGTTTGAACTATAAAAAGTGACAAAACAAGTGAACAATGTACTGGAATTCTGGGAAATGTAAAGAAATACAAAACACAATTTATTACACAAAAATATATGTCCACATTTACTTTCATCTATATTAAGGCTGGCAGAATCATAGCATGCTACACTTACATACCAGGCAAAGAAAATTACAGAAGAATGACTTACGTAATTTGTGTGATTCACCTACAGAACTTAAATCATGAAGGATGAGATGGGAGGGACATATAGCACACATAAAGCAAATGAGAAATGTGTGCAGAATCTTGTTCAAAAACCCTCCGGAGACAATATTTGAGTCCAAGAATCAGAAAGTAACAGAGGCTAGAGAAAAATAAAAAAATGAAAAATGTGGAAATTCAAAGTTTGTCCTCTTCACCAAATACAGGGCTACTATAAATGATTAATTCATTTTTAAAACGCTATATTTTCCAAAGCATTATACATACAAATATGATTGATATATAAAAAGAACCATAAACTCACAAAGTTTTCTTCATACTCTACAAATGTTCTATGTGTGCTCCTTGGGTCACACGACACACGCCCAGGCAGTAGTCGAGCTCATTCCACACATTTTGTAGCATCATCCTGTCAATGGTCATCACTGCAGCATCGATACGTTCTCTCAGCTCTACTAGTGTTCTTGGCAGTAGGGTACGTTAACACGATCATTAATGTACCCCCAAAGTAAGAAGTCACAAGGCGTTAGATCAGGTGATCTGGGGGGCCAAGTGAACAGAGCTACATCATCCTCACCAACATGCCCAATCCAGCAATGCCAAACTTCATTGTCTAGGTAGCGACGAACATTGCCAATACCACCACAAAATGCTTTGTTTACATGGCGGTTCCTTTCCGTACTCTCTTTTGAATGCGCGTTGCACTGCTATAACAGACGAACATTTCGCATATTCCAGCATAAACTCTTTTCTTGCTTTGTCGCCATTTTGTAAAGGCACTGAACTCGTGCTACCAACTGGTGCACATAATACACACTTGGTGAGTTTATGGTTCTTTTTATATATAATCATATTTGTACGTGTAATACTTTGGAAAATATAGCGTTTTAAAAACGAATGAATCATTTATAGTAGCCCTGTACTTCAGTCTATAAATTTATAATAAGATGGGGGAAGGGCGGGGACCATGTAGCAACCACAAGACATAATAAATCCATATAAAATTTAGTTTAAAGAAGCTTGGGGAAGAGACCACTCGGTACAATTAGGCATGTGTAGGATGATAATATTAAAATGGGTTCTGTAATAAAACATCAGGAATTTCTTTATTAACTGGACGACCATCTCTTTAAAAGAAAAATATGCTTCATAAGCTCTTTTGAGAACTTCCTGTTAATATGTTGGTTTGAATACCTGTGAGTTTTAATTGATTTACATAATTTTACCAAGTGGAAAATGAACCCAAACATTTTTAAAAAGAAATATTCAGATGCTGGTATTGTTAGATTGTTTATCTGCATGTACTTAGTATGACTAAAATGACTTCTAATATCACTGACTTCTTCAAAATATTTTACTATCATCTGCATTTAAACAAAACAAGATAATTCTATTACACACTCAACGACATACTCTTTGCCACATAATGCTGAAAAGGATACGGAAAAAGAGCTTCTTTGCCATGGAGGACCATCTCTCCAATACCAAAGATGGCGTTGTTCCTCACTTCATCACTTTCATCTCTGGAGACTTGCAGGAACAATGGCAGTAGTTGTGGTACAAATTGCCCTATTCTTGGACCAAGTGGTTCCATCGATTCTGATAAGGTCCCAACAGCAAATGAACGCTGTGCTACAGTGCATTGCTTCTTCTACAAATAACAAAGACCATGAATGGTAATGTAACCCTCAGTCCATAGGGAATAGTGTTATGAAGAAAAAGATTTTAAATACTGAAAATCACAGAAACTAAAAATACCATATTGGCTCATGTGATGTACCCCTTTGCATCATTTTAAAAGGAAAGACACTTTTTCCTTACAACATAATGTCCTACCCTCAACTTTGTTAAGGTAAGTTGTTCAGTTTTCATTAATGATCACACAAGAATTGACTTCAAGTCTGCCTCTTAATTGCAGTACCTACTAATACTTGCATTGGTATGCAGCATTTGCATAACAGCCACAATAAACCTTCCTGACTGGGAAGAAGCTATTTTTATGAAAGAAAAAAGTGACAGTTATTTGCTCATGCCACTGATTTTCCAGAACCAGGTAGATCTGCTTTAGAACAGATTAGAGTGGCTTCCTTGAAATATAGTCCACATGGAAAAAGAAACCAAGGATGGCCATTGAAGAGACTGAGGCAAGAACTGGTCAATAAATGACCCTACCCCTCAAGAGTTTGTGGATGATGATGATGTTGCAGCTTATTTTAATTTTAATTTATATAAAAAAATCTATCCCTGTAACAGGCAGTGGAGGCCCAGGGCCATAGCATGACCAGAAGGATCAGGTCAATTGAATAAATCTAATGACCTCATCAGGAATCAAACCCCTGACCTTCCACCTTGTACCATAGTGCCTCAACCAACTACACTACTGTATGCCCTGAGCTGTATCAAAATAAATGTATGTAACAAAACCAGCTTACATGTCTTTCAGATATAGCCTGTAAAGTATCAAATGCAAGAGTTTTACCATTCTGTTGGCAAATAGAGGAAGGAGCTGCCCAAGGTACTGCGCGAAGTCATCGGGTGTCATGGCTTTACCCAGATTTGGAACAATATCTCCTGCATACTCGATCACCATCTCATCTTGCTCAGCTTCCGGATCATCCGAGTTTGCTCCATCCTCATCTCCTTTGTCTTGGCATTCAGTCTGCAGCAAAAGAAAGAGTAACATTGCGGAAGTATGCTCCTACTGTAGTCATACAGCAGTTAACTCTTAATGACCCTGTGCCACATTTATGAGTTGGTACACTGTGAAATCCAGCTAGCAAAGCACTGGATATTTTCAACACCAATAATGTTACTCCTGAGTTTAAATATGGGAGTGTAAAATCCCCTGTTCCCTAATGATATACAGTCAGCCCCCCATTAAGATATGGCCACCATGCATTTAGTGCCCGAGACCTAACCTCCTTTCCCCCCCCAACAATAAAAGTTAACTATCTAGAACAGCGTTGGCCAATCTAATACATCTCGAGGGCCAAATTTAGTTTATTGAACACCATCAGGGACCAGATATAGTGTTTCTTTCAGAAGAGTGGTTGGGGAGTACTGCCCCCAAACTGAATCAGTCACAACCCGTGTAAAAACAAGTGCATTTGAACCTATGTATTTAAATTTTACGTTGCACCAATAATATTAAGCCGATATTGAAAATTTCACCAATTGATTTTATTGCCTTCTATCACTTCTACCCCCAGAGCATTTTTTCTTAAAGAAACACTGTCCAGATCATGCCTTATGTTTAGTTCTATATATGCCGGGGAAAAATGCAATTATAATTTAAGAAAGAAAAATAAAATGCCTTGAAATTTTCAATTACTTACCATAAAACAGAACAAATTCCTCTTTCATCAGGTATGAGCATAAAAGACTCTCAGTACCTAAATCCTCATATACACACTGTTTTAATGAGAGCACTGTGGTTTCATAAAACTGGAAACCAATGATATAAAATCCACTTCTAATTGCGAGGTTGCCACTCGAATAATATGTGATAACACGACATCTGAAAGTCTGAAATGCTGTTTCACATATGTAAGTACTTGCAAAAACAGAGCAAAGTTTGAGAGCCCAATTTCGTAACAGTGGGTAACGTTCTGGTGAAAGCAGTTTCCAAAAGTAAATTCCAGTAACCTGAGATGTGTTTAAGGATAGGTCACATTAGAGTTCACAAAGCTCTAATTGCAGATGACCTGGCTGAGATTCTATATTACAATGTATAGGATTACTGAATAAAGAAATATCAGGTCGAAAGCTTTCAAAATCGTTAAATCGTCGGTCGAACTCTGAAGACAAATCTTCAATAATTTCACTGTAGTCCCTAAACTCCAAGCCTTCTTCTTCTGAGAGTT